ATTTTAGCTTTTTTTTTGAACACAAGGAAATATTAAACCTGGAATACGTAAACAAAACAAGAGGCGTAACCCTGATATATATATATATATATATATAAACCTTCTTAAACAGCAAGACATAGCCTGTTGTGAAAATATCTTACAACAAAGAATGGCTCATTTTGCAAAAATTAAACCAAAAGACTACATAGGTTATTATCACACTGTTGATAATTTAATAAAGTTTTGGTATTTGGTTAAAAAACAAGAGCAGAGGGCAACTTTTAACTTACAAGCCTTGTGCATGAGGATAAAATGTAGTCAGCATTTAAAAATTTGGGTGGAAATGCTTTCAATAGAAATCACTACATATTCAGTCATGACCTCAAAAATGTCTCTGGCTTTCTTCACTCTATGTTAGTCTATATGAGACTAGATTATTTCTACAGCAACTTCCCATATTTTGAGAGGTCTAACTTACACAGTACGATCCACCCTTAAGCATTTTTATCCCATAAATCTGTTCGTACCTACAACATGTAAGGAATGACAATTTTCCTTTATTTTCTTTCTGGCATGTTCTAAGAATAAATAAATACATAGAACAAAACAACAACAACAAAAACAATCTCATTACTTTGCAGTCTTTTACCCAAAGTGTTCTTTTGTGGTCTCTATTTTGTTTTCTTATACCTACCATATCAACAGGTGTATGGAGTTTCAATCAAACTTATTTTGTACTGAAATAAAACACTTTCTTTTCCAGAGTTAAAAAAAAAATATATATATATAAATACCCACAAATATACACTTGTAGGTTTATTTATATTCTTCTCAGTCAATACATACCTTTAAGAGTTAAGGCAAATAAATGTTTGAATTATTTTCTCTTCTAGTACAAACTCATACTCTGCCCCCTCAGAGGCTTTATTCTCATGTTTAGAAGAGTTGATTAAATGATTTTATTAGGAAAAAATTAGAGAATATAAAAAGGATTTTAAAATGAAAAAGCTGATATATTTAATGACTTCATCATATTGGAGGAAGGTAAAGCTCAGTTAAGTTGGTTAGCAGAATAGTCTAAATCTTTTTCTTTGAAAATTGGAAAAAAACCAGAGGGCCACGGAAAGGAGAGGCTGTAACGTGGACAATGACAGTGTGAGGTCGTCTGTGGAGGCCCAGGGTGCTGATAGAGCTGGGGCCCCCTCAGAGGCCTGGGCTCTTGGCACGTGGGTTTCTGCTGTAGGGCCAGCAGGGGCAACAGTAAGAGGCCTGAGGAGGCACAGCCTGGTGAAATTTGCCAGTCAAGGGCACCTGATTTTGGATTCCTCTCTAAACCAAAACACCACAGAACATGTTGACACTTGTTTTTCTTCATAAACTAAGAGTTGCTTTCAAAGTACACTAGTGATGGCTCTCAAGAACACACCTGCACTTAGCAGTCTGAGCGTCTGCAGTGATAGCAGGAACTTGGGGGTGAGGCTGCAGATCCACCAGAGCTTTGCTTTACAATGTGAAGAATGCCGCTGAGTATCCTACTGGTCAGTTTCTAGATATGTCACGTGGAAATGTTAAACTTTACTTACAATTTGATATCCACAAAGCTAATAGAAACCTGTGAACTTTACAAAGCAAGTTTTAGAAAGCTTTAGTGGAAAGGCAATTTCAAAACTCTACATAGAACTATTAAAGCCTTGGTGGTCTTAAGTTTTACAAATGTTTTCTAAGCATTCATATTTTATCTGATTCTTTTTATGATCTTTGCCTTCTATTCTCATACTTGAACGTGTCCCATAGAATTCACTGGTAGGTCCCCAAAGTCTGTATTTGGGTGTTTAAGATAGAAAAACTCTTTTAAAAGAAGTTTTAAAAAATAAATTACCAATAGAATGAGGCATTTTCAAAGCAAGTGATTTGATGTCTTAATGGAACATTTTTGGGCTGTTGCTTTGGAGAGTGGAAAAGGCACTGCACCAACCAGGAGGCGACCCAAGTTCTGCTCTGGCTCTTTTAGAGCAGAGTCGGCCCGTGCCGCCTGTGAGCCTCTTTTACTCTCCCCCAAGCTGTCCTGCTTGGGAAGGCGAGACCAACATGTGCACCACTGCCTCCTGCAAGAGTCTGATGACACGTGATCCACAAGGAAACACGTTCTCATCTGAGTGAGTGAGATGATACCAATTCATTAAAATAAAGGTCACTAAACTCGATTCACAAAGGCAAGGCAGTTCCCTTGATATTTCGGACATTTCATCTGCACTGACACATTCTAATCATTGTACACTATGATGTCAGAATCCAAAGAGAGAAGGCAAAAGTAACTGAGTTTTGTCTAACAGTCCATCAAAAGTTTAAAAACATGGTTTCTAAAGTGTCAGTGTGCTTCAATTCATTATCTGTTGGATAGTTTTTAAGATGTCAAAAGGGAAGAGTATTGTTGACCACTAAATGTTTTAGTTGAAGAACTTAGGCAGTTGAGAAGAAAATGGATTTTAGAGTTAGATGAACCTGAGTTCAAATCCTAATTCAGTTATGTATGATTTTGGGCAGTTACATTCTCTGATGCTCAGTTTACTCATCTGAAAAATGGGACATAATACCTTATACTTTGGAAAACTGCATAAATTAGAAATAATATAGGTAAATCACCTGGCACATAATATGTACTCAATAAAAGCTATAAGCAACATTTTAAGAATAAAAGTGTTTTTCTTCTCGTTTCTACCTGGTATGCTAGGAATACCTAGCAAAGCTTACAGAGATACTGGTGACCATCATCTGCTGTCTGACTCAACACCAGCCTGGGTGCTTATTTGATGGATGGATAAATGTCAGTGTAAATAAATATTTAGTCTAAGCAGTGACAATTCCATGATATAATTCACTACTTATCAAAAAGAAAAATGGCATTAGAGACCTCTTCAATATTCAGCTCAACAAAAGAATTACATTAATTTGTAAAGCTACTCATTTTCATAACTAGCTGCATATCAGATCTCAATGAGTATTTAATTTTATTGAGTTTAATATCTTAAAAATTCTTGCTGACCTAGGTATCCATCAAGCATATGCTTTCTGTTAGCTTACATATGATCATTCATACCCATATCATTTACTAGACATTTATTCTTGTCCCTTTTAGCTATTTATAAACCAATACTTTTCTTAGACTAATAAATTTTCAACTTGTGTGTTTTGACACTCCCAGCACTGGGAATCCAGATACAATGTTTTACAGAGATGCGTGGAACAAGAAAATACATGTTTCGGACTATATAAAATAAGTCTGAACTTGACAATCAGAACAAGAATATAAATGTTGGTCTTTCCCATTATAAATTTAAATACATCATTAATAAAATGCATACACTTTTCAATATGAATGGAGACCTGAAACGAAGTAAGTTGAGGTAAGGGGTATGAAAATTTAAAAATATGATAAGAGACTAGCAATGCCTCATCTAAGTGATTGAAGGTATGCTTAATAAATATTGCGCATTTTTAAACAGTTGCTTATTTCATATAAATTTAATCTGTTAAATACATAAGATTAAATTTTCATTTGTGTGGTATTATCTAAAAAGGAATATGAATCATTGAAAAAGTGGAAGCACGTTTGGCGAAAGTATCCTCTTAAACACAAAAAATATTTTCATGAGATTCCTTAGATTACAAATATCAAGAAGGCACTAATGATTTCAATTATCTTCCATACCTTACATTCTTTTTAACACAAGGCGTCAATGAATGGGTTTTCATTAAACCCTGACAACAGGACATAACACACAGCACAAGTTGTGGAGGATGGCAAGTGGAGTCATTACACAGGGGAAAGAACACTTGATTTCACCCTCAGCAACAAACAGAAGAAAAAAGGTTGTAGCGCTTGCCTGGCAGGGTGGTACAATACAGTCTGTACAGACCTACACAGTAGCTTATTATTAACAGCCTCAGCAGTTTCCTCACGTTCAATAGCATTCTGGTTTTTAAAGCCCACTGTTTTCATATTTGAACAATATTGTCTGTACAACTACCTTTTATTTCCTCCTTGTCCTTTCCCACAAACCTCCCAAATTGTTAGTGCTGTGTTTTGGATATTCTACTGTTTTCATGGTAAAATTTTCAGATGTCTCAATGAGTTTCCCTCTTTAGTGGCTCTTTACAGTTTTTAATAACAATTTCTGATGATTCTATTGCACAAAATACAGTTCCTTCTAATGTGTCTGCTTTTAAATAAATGTTCTACATTAGTAGTGGATGAAGAAACACAATAAATTTGGGTTCAAAAACCTTACTGTCAATGCTAAAAATAATGGTTTAGTTCTACAAGGAAACTGTAAAAAATAATTTCAAGATCAAAAATTCTGGAAATCAGGTTTTCAAGCCTTTTTTTATTAGAAAACTTAAATTATTACCCTTTTTAAAAAGAGTTGTCAATGTCCATTTTTTAATTTTCTTGAACAAATAATAATAAAGGATAGCAAACTAGGATAAGAAAACACATTAGAAGATAGCTTTCTACTTCATACAACTTCTAGTTACCTTTTCCTATCCATTCACCTATTTCTGGCCAGCAGCAAGAATAGAAAATCCATTTATTTTTGCCTTTTTTGGGTCTTCCAAGAGGAGCTTCATTTACCTGAATACAAACAAAAGCTAGGGGAAACAGCTTTCATGTTGGCACCAACCGAGTACACGGCTCGTGAACCAGCACTCCCTGCCTTCTATGGCTTCTTCTGCAGCTTATAGTCCAACACCTACGTGACCGGCTGAACGGCGACTGATACTTGAAATGACACAGATGGACAACAAATAACGGAAACACAGGGAATCCCCTTGGCTGTTATTTTTTTCTAATAGGCAAATCCCTAGCATTCTGTAAATAAAATTATAAATACTAAAGAAGTGATGAGAATTTCACAATGGGGAAAGGATCATTTCTTATAATAAATATTTTGGTACAAATTTTAAAAAACGTAGAAAAGTTTAGTACCTCTGGGTACTTTTTTCTAATAAAACCATACCTGCTTCAGAACTTGTTTGATTATAGCTGCTAACAATGCTGTTTGGTATCACTGGAGTAGAGGACGTTGAAATTCTTGACTGAGGTGGATTGGGATGTAATGAATTTCCTAAAGCCATGCCCGACTGACTGAGCATCCCACAGTTCCCGCTAGCCTGAATTTGATTTATTAAACCTGCAAGATGGTGGTTTGGGACTGAACTGTTACTGTGAACAAAGTTAGTGTTTGCATTGTGGCAGTGCACGGCTTCCCCTCTTAAAGGTATGTTCTGTGTCAATGAATTCTGAAGAACACTGGAGTTCATATTGGGATCTGTAAAATGCATCTGGTTAGCAGAGCAAGGCAAAGCAGTATTTGAGGCCCCGCAACCCGGGGTACTATTGCTACTCAAGTGAGAGCTTTGACAACTCATAGACTGTAGTAACTGAGACATTGAACTGATGGGAAAAGAACCCTGACCTTGCTTCCTTAGCAAGTCGGGCCCAGGTTTAGGAACTGAAGAACTATCCATTTGAGACTGTCTGAGCAAACTCAAAACCGTGGTAGGTGGCTGTTTTCTTTTCCGCAATGAGTCTTTTTGCTGAGACATCAGCTTATCTCTTAGTGCTGCTCGACCACTTTGCCCTTCACCTGTTGGGAGAAGCATGTTGGCAGTAGGAGGGAACATGGTGTTTAAAGTGCTATGTCCTTCAGTGTTGCCACTGCCAGCAACAGCTCCAGAACTGCTACTGCTGCTATTGTTGTTACTAGCAAGTTTGTTTTGATTTGCTAGCTGTGCTTTGGCTGCTGCTGAGAGTAAACTACTTGCTGGAAAGGAGGCAGCATTGTGCTGGTTCAAGATCTGATTTAAAGGCATTCCCAGCAAACCAGGCTGACTCTTTACAGAACCACTTCCGGCAGATGCAGTAGGAAAAGCTGCACTGCTTGGGGTATTTAGTACATTACTCATTCCAGCAATTAATGGGTTAGGGATATCCTTGTACTGATGATGTCCATCGGACTTGGTAGAAGGGCTTGATGGCATTGAAGGTCTTGGGGACCCTATTGTTGACCTTGGTGACCTGGGTGGAACCTTGATACCACTGCAAGTGACCTGGGGTCCTAGAGGTGGCATCATGAAATTTCCGTGATCTGATGATGTGGAAGATGAGCGTGATCTTTGGGGCGATGCCTCAATCCTTCCGATTCCAGCCCCCATCATGTGCACTGGGGATGTCACTGGAGAAGGGGACAGGGAGGTTGAAGCTGAATGCTGAACTCTTTGTACATGACTCCCATGATTCATGTGACCAGGTTTTACAGTTGGCAAAGGGAGATTACTTGGCAAAGGAACAACAGCAGGAGGCATGCTTACATTCATCACAGGTACCTGAGAGTGGACATTTGAATGGAAACTAGTTGGATTAATGATAACAGGGTTCTGATTCACCGGTTTACTAGGAATAGGGTCAAGAATGCCAAGTGGATCTTTCTCAGATGTTAATGGCTTTTTCTGAAGAGCACAAGAAGGTGGAGGGGGAGGTGGGCCTTGGGGTGGTTTGTGGTGGAACATTGCTCGTGGTATTTCCATATTAGTTGAAAAATTACACATTGGTTTTTTCATTACTGGACTCTTTGTAGTCAAGGTTGGGGAAAGAGGTATATTAGTCCTTCCAGCCATTGCACAGGATGACTGTACAGGAGAACCATGTAGCATTACTGAAGGTGGAGAAAGAGGAGTCCTATTCAGGTGAATAGGACTAGAATTGGGAGCTCCATGAAAACCAGGATTATTTCTTGTGAAAACATCGGGGCTTCCAAGTGGGTCAGTCCTTGGAGAGATTGAGCCATCTCCATAAATCTGGGATCCTGACGATGCTGGGCTGGGCAGGCCTCCGTGGCTGCCACGGAATGGAGATTTCTGTCCATGTTCACTGCTGCCCAATCTTTGCCGGGGGTAGACAGGGTGGAGTTCTTGTTGCTGGCTTCCAGGCAGTTCTTGTACATACAGCCTTCCCATGGCATTTGACGATCCAATCATTAACTTGAAAGGATTCTTACATTCAGGCATTACAGAATTTGTAATTCCTTCATGAGGCTTACTTCTTATAGATCTTGGAGTTGCTGCCCGTGAAGGTACTACTGGAGTTGCATCTGATGTGTGAGAGAGAGAAAAAAGTCTGTTAAGGAATGTAAATTCTTTTGTATTGGGGGGGAGGTATTGTGGGGAGGGAAGGAAAGGAGGAAATGAGGAAGGGAGGGCACCTGGAAATAGAAATCTGCAAACAGAAGCTGTGCCTCTATGCAACTAGAAATTCTGCACTCTACATTAAATTTTGATTTAAAAAATGCACATTATTCTCCCTCACTTGACCAAAAGTTCTCAATTAACTGCTCATTATGCTTGTTTGCCTCTTATCTGTGGAGAAAGGATGAAAATCTGAATCAGTTCACAATGACATTAGCCATTCCAATAATATTTAGAATATGCAAAATCAAGACTGACAGCCCAGATGGAAATGATGATGTTACTATCTTATTGGACTTGAATTTTTTAGGAACACAGTTACAATAGATAATTGTTATCTGTGTGGCATATTTACTTGGGTGATTTAAATGAATTGCCATTTTCACCAAAAAATCTGTTACCCTATTAATGTTTCTCTTACTGATACCTCCTCAGGATGGCTAAAAGAAATGCTTCCTTATCCCACCATTTTCACTGTGAGAGTAAGAGTCTTAATTTTTGTGAATTAAGTGAATGGGATTTAGAATCTTTTATAATGGGTGCGAGAACAACAGTAAATGCAGTGATACTGCAATCATGTCTAGCTGCCCATTGAGTCTAACGTAACAGTGCAGTTTCTTTGCCGTTAATCAGTTGTTACTGCACAAACAGCTTTTGTGGATCAACTCAGGTAAAAGACTGCAATTCTTCTGTTAGGGAGAATCCCCATACAAAATTTAGTCAGAGTGCTAAATCTTCAGTACTGAGTTCTAATTGAGAATTCTCTTTTTACAGAGTGCACTGCTCCCTCACTGGCTTTCTGGAATCCCTTCAGTTCCTTTGGAGATCAGACAGAATACAGGCAACAAAGGCACTCTGGCACATCGGACTGAACTTTCACTTTATCTTGTCAGAATTCAAGGTTTAAGCTTTTTAGCCCCTAAGGATATTTAACTATTTTATAAAGTTGTACCTTCTAAAGCAGGGATAGCAAAGACAGTTGATTTCATAGGACAAGTCCCATCAACTGGTGGTGCCTGCTCAGAGGGCTGTGATGAAAAGGATGCTAAGCTTTGCTGGGCTCCGTGCGAGCCCACTGAGTCTACCACAGGCACGGGGGATGTGAGTGGTACCACTCACACCACACTGGCCATTTCTCCTCTGAGACTTACAACATATAGGCAGGTATGTTTGAATTCATCTGCAATCAGAAGTATATTTACTCAAGTGAATACTTGCAAATTGAGGATGCCTGTACTTCTACATTCTAGGTAGTTCGCAGATCAAATCATGTAATAATTTCTAAGACACTGGTTCTCAACTTGGGGTACACAGAGGTCTAGGTAGGGTGCATTCAAGAAGTAAGAGAATGCAGTGTGGAAATGTGGGCTTTCTGTCTGCAGCATGGTGAAGATGTCTGATAGAGTGATTTCTGGACATAATAAATGAAAAGTTGAGAACCAATGATATAAGAGAATTATACTAGATAAACTCCCCTGAACTTACTTTCTTGTTAAAAGAGATTTTTAAAGGTTGCAATAAAAATAATACACACATGAAAAATACATATATGAGGCACTGTATATGGCATATGGGGAGAACTCAGTTTCTGTATCAGCCCTGTTACAGGGCTTCTATGTCCTCTTCAGTAACTATACTATAGACTTGTGTCTTTTCTTGGGTATTTATATAATTATTTATAGTTAAATGATAAAAAAATGTAGGCATTGGCTTTTTTTTAAATATTCAACAGAATTTAGAAAATAACTGTGGTTTTAAAAGGATTTCTTCCATACCTGGGGAAAAACAGTTACCATCTTTAAAATAACAGGAATACTAAATACACAACAGAAGTCTTGCTGTGGTTATGTTCAGGTTAGGAACACAAGTGTTACAAGGGCTGATAAATATGAATGTTAGGTGCCCATCAAGGACTTTCATGGAGACCTTTCAAAAGAATAAGCGAGAACTAAATATATGTTTACGTATGTTAGAGGTGAAAACTTCTATACGAGTCTTCTTAACATTTAATTATTTAAAGTTCAACCTTATGATAACAGTTTAAAATAAGAAAAGTGAAATAAATGTTATGTCTGAAGCTAGTAAAACAGTAGCAATTAATCCAAAAGTACACCATTTTAAGAGGGGATAGACATATACATCTTATACCTGTACCAGTTAAATATTTACCTTTATTTTCAATAATGAAACTTGTATGTATAGGGTATGACAAAGGACCAAATGGTGACTCTGTTAAGTTCATTAAAAAGACAACAAGGTAGACTCTGTAGAAAGATGTAGAACTGTTTGATATGATACGAGAACAGCAAAAGATATGAGTATATGCAAAAATGAAAACATAGTTATATCAATGTGGTAAGATATTTGTATTAAATACTTCATTACTATTAAATGTCTTCATTGCAATATCTTTTAATTAAAAAAAATGTAGCTCATTAAAAAAAAGAAAAATCCCTTACAAGATTTTGTTTTCTTACATACCTTAGCAGAGCAATTTTTTTTCTGATCTTTCCTGTTAAGGTTTAAAGGTCAGAGGGTTATTGGAAAGGAGCTCTCTAACAGCTTCTAAGGTCGCCTCTCCCTGCCCTGTGCCCTGAGTTCTGAGTGTAAACCTGCACCTGTATGATGTCACAGCTGCTCCTCTTTGTATGAAAGTCCGTATTGGACCCCAATTTACCTACACAGGCTTAACTTCTCCTCCAGTCAGATTAGTTTCCCCATCATCACTTCTACATAGGACAGGAATTTTCTTATCTCTCATATGTCTAAATCCTGCCATTTCCCGGGTTGGTTCAAATCTGCTTTCTCTGATCACTACAGGCTATACTCATCATCTTTATTTTTCTCAGAGCTTTGCAGAACAACATCACTTTTCTTTCATAAACAAATATTTTGGCACTTGGCCATATTTTATTCTGAATTATTATTATTCAAGTGTTACGCAGACTGTAATATTTTAGAGAGAGTTAATACTCTAGCCCTTACAGAAAGAAGTTCCTCAGTCTCAAAGTATGATTCCACAGATTACATATTAATTGTGAAGGGAAAGGGTACCTTAACAATGGAGTAATCAGATGGATATACCTATAACCAAGCAATCAAACTTAATGTCATCAATTTGGGGTAAACTGACACTATGTGCCTCCTGGGGAGGGCATAACATCACCTATGCACTATTCCTAGCAAAAAGTGTTTAACCCGAATATACATATGAGGACACAATCAGGCAAATCCAAACTGAGGAACATCCGACAACCCTTCACAGACGTCAATGCCAGGAAAGAATGAAAGAGACTGGGGAATTGGTGTAGGTTAGAGAAATGTCACAACTAACTGTAGTGCACAATCTCTGACTGCAACCTGGACTGAAAAAAAAAAAACTGGATTAAAAATAACTATAAGAAGAAACTATTAGGACAACTGGAGAAATTTTAATATAGACTACATATTAGATAATATTATATCATTGTTAAATTTCCTGAAAACCATCATTAGATCTTGGTTTATGAGGAGAATGTCTTTGTGTGTTGAACTATTTAGGGTTCGATTTTCATAGCATCTGCAATTTCTGCAACAAAATTATTAATTAGTGAATCTGGATGAAGGGTATGTAGTATTCAATGAACTGTTCATGCAAGTTTTCTGCATCTTTGAATTTTTTTAGAAAGTGAAAGCATGCGTGCATACATATGAGCATGTTGGGGAAGGTACAAAAAGTTGCCAACAAGGTAAGATCTGTTAGTAGGTGCTCAATAAATAGCTGTTAAATGACAGAAAAAAATAATACTGCTAGTTCTTGAAAATATTACTAGTTGCATTTGAGCATTTGATACCACACACTCCAATAAAGGCTACATTAGTTTCCTAAAAATCTGTGGCACTTTCTTTTTGTTAGCTGAGTTCTAAACCTGCATAACATTGATAATGTGCTAATCAATGTTTAGTCTAATTTTTTAACTAGATGATTTATTTGGACAAGAAATTTTGGGAAACAAATTCATAAGAATTTTCCAGAAATTCTTGCAACTTTTCAGAATGAATTTGCTATTTGTAATAAAATGATAAAACATTCATGTGCATGTTTGAAAAGTGGACTTGGAAAACGCTTGGCAAAGTGGTTTCTCATGACTCCTCCAGGAGAGTGGTGGGGAAGCAAATTCCTAAACCCTCCCCAGTGTTACATACTTGTTCCTCCTCCGGGACTGGTAAGCACCAGAGAAGGATGTGGGGCTTCCATACTTTTATGAAGTGTGGCCACTGCGATGATTTTTCTTTTGTGTATGCATAGCTTTGTGACATCTTCATCTGCTTTAACGTCTTCTGCAGTTCTTTGTTTCACAGCAGCTCCGGGATCAAAATTAAACACCTGGAAAAGGACAGCCTTTGTTTAGAGTATGTTGTAAAAGCATTAAATAAAAAGATCCTTTGTTTAAAGAATTTCTTTACGTAGATTAAGCCACAAATCTGAATAAAATTTTCTCCAGTTTTTAAATTTAAGAAAAGCAACTTTATATAACTTGGTAAATACTTTTGCTGAACGCATGGTTTTTAGCGGCATAGTAAGTAATGAAAATTATCCTAATTCTAAGATAGCCAAGATAAATACATGCAAAGATATACTATCTGATAATGTTGCCAATATAGATATTTCCTGATGCCAAAACAGTACAAAAATAGGTGAAGTTTAATTTAAAATCCACAAGCTGACATTTCTACATGCTAATTTTTGCTTTGGCTTAATTTTATTACTATATTAACATTACCATTCACCTATTAAAAATTTATTTCTCTGTTTTAAAAGAATACTATTTATTGTGTACATATGAGATGTTTCAAATTAACTTTTTGTAATGATGTGACATACAAATAAGAAGAAAGAAGGTGTCTGTTAACCCCAGTTCTAAAACCGGCACCCTAATAGGTACTCAGAGAACAATGGTCTATTTCTATACTAGTAATATTTTATCATTTATCACAATTTTTACTTTCTACCTTGCAAAGAAGTAAAACAGTTTCACATGTTAGCTTTGTGATTTTAGAAACATTGGTGGCAGATTTATCATTGCAGACTGAACAGTTACAGTTGGGAAAGAAAATACTGCACTATTAAATGGTGAACATAGGTATAGCTCTAATAAAATGGGCAAAAGAGGTTTTAACAAAATATTTAATATAAAATATTTAAAAATGACTCCAGGATTTGAACCATTTTCCACAATCACTAAGTATTCCAAAATGCATGCAAAAGATATCCAGTTAGACTTTAAAAGGCATATGTGATTGGAGAAGTAATGTAAAAATGAAATGTCAAATGAGAAATGCAAATACACAAAACACCTAAAAAATAAAAAAATGCTGAGAGATCTGTTGTGAAATGGTTACCTTGGGAAGAATAAGAGGACATTCCAAGCCACACTTGCATGTTCCGTCAGTAAGCAGGTATGTTTTAACCTGCTCCAAGCAAGATAACAAAGACCCACTGGGACTGTAAAAATAATTTTACAAAACATCAGGAAATAATTCTGACTGCACATATTATGTGAAAAAAGGCATAATTTATAGTCTTACTTCCTTCATTGGATTATATTTTCCTACTAAGGAAAAGCATTTTCTTTGTCAATATTATGTTAGCTACTAAATTATAGCCTTTCAGCACTATCACTCTTTCTTTTGAACCAAAATATTTCTCAGAAAAACACAGATCTTCATAGAAAATTAAACAGAAGTATTCTGAAAACCAAAAATGGACTAGATTGGGGAAAATGCTATTCTTAAGAAAAGACGATAGAAGCAAGCAAGAAAGAAACAAGAAAACTACATGAAAGTAATCATTATCATTTTAAACCAGAAGATGTACATTTAGAGCTGTTGGAGAAAAAACGGAAATTTAGGAACACACTGGAGGTCAAACCAGAAAGTCACTAAGTGTACAAAAGTTGGAGCTAGCAAGTTCTCTCCTTTAATCTTGGAGACTAGGACCAAGTTGCCCCTATGTAAAAATAGGTTTCTTTTTTCTTTTCCCTCATCCATGTGTTTCTTTGAAGATAGATTTGTGCAGCTCAACTCCAATTACAATGAAGAGCCCAACCATTCAGACAAGGAGAGAGAAGCCAGGCAGATCTGACAAAGGCTGAGGGGACTCTTGAGGAAACAGGGTTTCAGTGGCAGGAAGGTGCCTGCCAGGTCTTCTGGCTGGTAAATGGGTTGTGTTCTCAGGTTATCACTCTTTGCTTTTATTCAATTTTTAGCCACAATGGGGGTTAGTTTAAAATAGATCATTTGCATTTTAAGATGTTTGTTATTAAAATATTGATTTTACAGCCTTGAAAATTATTATATACTTTTCATTCAAGAATACCCTTTTTTTCTCACTACTTTCCAAAACCTTCATTTAAGACTTCTGATCAAATTTGGACTTGACCAGAAATAATACAAAGTATTACACTACCAGGGGTAGACTATTCTACTACAGGTAGTTTGTATCTATAAATGAACCAGCTTTAAAATACAATTGATATTTTATTTATGGACAATCATGTAAGTGACTTACGCATGTAGAACACCTCAATTAAAATCCTCAACTTTGTCAATTCACTCATTCATTTACTTAGGCTAACAATTTTTTTCAAATAGTCTGTAAAAAGTAATGATTCCCATATTATAGACTTCAGTTCCACTCCAGTGGTAAGGACGAGATGTTTTGGAGTCCTGCTAATTTAAATAAAATAAAATCACCAAAGACTTACTTGAAAAGTTCATGAGTTTTGTGACATGAAATTGCCTAACATTTTACAGTTAAAGAAAATGTACTGACTGAATCCTAGAGGAATTTAACTGGAAAATTAAAATGGAAGACAAAAGCTCCTAAATTCTACCAGAGCACTCTAGACACTTTAAAAACAATTCCTCTCAATCAGTCAGTTCAGTTCTTTTCTTTAGTTGTACCTCCTTAATTAACTTTTGGGAGTAATAATTAACATAAAAATAGTTGTAAGTCTTAAGGCATAGATAAAGCTTAGGAGGTTGGAAGCAGATGGGAAATCTACTGTGCAGTCTCAATGCCTCCCTGAGGCACAGCAGCTGAAGACAAACCTAAAAATTACCAGCAAACTGCACACTGAGAAGGGGGCTACCGAAGGGGACCAGCCTCCTATATGTGTTCAGGTAGTAATGTCACCAGTTGCATACAAACAGATTGAACCATACTGGCTTAATTTATTTGAAAGTGTTTTACCTTATCTGGCAGAGTTAGTTGTGAAAAGAGTTCTTAGTGTAGACTTGGATTTGGAGAACTTAAGCTACCTCACACTAATACACAGCAAAGTCTACTTATGTGTGGAAAATCATGAAAAAGATAACTGACTGATTCCTAGACTTATTGTGGTTTAACTTAGTTTTTTTTTAAACGTAAATTTTATTTTATTTTTTTTAATTATTTTATTGTTGTTTAAGTATAGTTGTCTGCATTTACCTCCACCAACCCCTCCCCTCCCCTAACCCCTCCAGGGTTTAACTTAGTTTCCAGCAATCCAGAAAGCTGATCTGTCTTTCACTGGAATGAAGATGAAGTACAAAAAATAGATTATCAAGATCTCAGAGTCATTTGCTCTAAGATGAACACATACTTGCTCCTTATAGACTAGAACAATCATAAATATAAGCAATGACACTCATATCTAGCTACATTATATTAATAACCAAGTGTTTCTGGCAGTGTGGTAAAAGCATGGGCAATATGAACACTTTTAGAAAGTCACCCCATGTGTCCACCTTACCCACCCTGGGACACGCTCTGCATCGCCTGCTTCCTTATTCCTTCACTCCAATTAACATAGAGCACATCTTTAACATTCCCAGAAGCAAACAAACAAAACTAATGTGTAAAAGAATTTCAATTGTTAAGAAACACCTAACACAAAACCAACCCAAGACAGAGTCTAAACTGGATTTTGAGTTATGACATGAAATCATTTATACAGTGGCAAATCCCTCTTTCATATAAATATATCTGCACAAATGGAGAATTCCATTGAAGCAGAGATACACATAACTGCATTAAAAGTAACAGCATTAATATAATGATGCAGTGTGGTATCTTAAAAAAAGTTCTAAGTCTATTTCTAATAATTTGTATTATATCACAAAGAAAGATTTATGGTATTGTAATGTTTCATATACTACTGATAAGCTACTATGTAAGGAACTTGGATATCAGTTATTTGATAATAAGAATGAAACTTCTTGCCAACAATTTAGTTATTCCATTCAACTTGTTCTATCAGTGATACCTGCCTTCAAAATTTAAAAGACCAGGCATTTGCATTTTATTTGTATGATTTTTGTATGAGAGATGAAGAGCCATCTACATCATGATTTTTTTTTACTATAAAATTGAAAGGGTTAGCTCAAAAACTGTGCAGAAAAAAACTGGGAAATTTTTATATAATATTAGGCATTAAGGAGTGTAATAATTAAAACTGCCTATAAATAAAAACATTAACCTTACATCCGAAAATCCAGCTGAAGCACTGTGAAGGACAAAATCACACTGTCAAGAGACATCAGTTCTGTTTCCAGTATTTACATTCTCTTGCAGACGTGGTTGGTAATGACACCTATGTTTCTTTTAGAAATCTTTATATTTTTCTTTATCCTTGTTACAGTGATAAGCAGAGTGACACATTATATAAACACAAGTAACACATAAAAATTCTCTCTTGTAACCTAGGGCAATTTACATTGCAAAATAGTACAGATTAAAATCACCTGAATATTTTTAGCACAAAGTTCATTTATTCAAATTTATTTGAGGTGCTGTCAGTCACAATATTTTGCTCCCTCAAAGGAACAGACTCTACCTCCTTAATTTTGGGACTGCAAACTTGGAGGTAACACAGGTAATGATAAGGGCTCACCTGACATAAAGAACTCCGTTTTGATCCACACGGCGCTGCCAGCCCACAGGAACTTGTATAGCCGGAAGACCTCCATCCTTGTCCCCTCCATCACACTCCTTGCCTCCATTCATTTTCTGTATCTGCTTGGTACTCTCCAAAGATATCAGCAATAAGATGATATCCTTATATTACAGGGCATGATGGCCTTCAAAAATGGCCAATGCAGCATAGTTGTTCCCAGACTACAAAATGCACTGGGATGCTTCGGCTCAGTTTGGAACCAAGTCCTTGAAATCTGCCATTGTGGAAAAAATCAGTTTCCCATTATAATCTACATTAAATAACCAATATTTAATTCCTAAGAATGATCTACATGGGTAACAAGGAGTGCTTCTGACTAAGGAAAATCATATTTACCAATGCTGGTACCTGTCTGAAGTGGGGGAGGGGAGGAGTGTAGTTTTTAGTTCAACATGTTGTCTTGAACCTTGATGTTGGACTAAAATAATCTCTACTGTTTAGAAATCGGTCTCATTTTTACAATGTGAGTCGGTTAATATTTCCAGGTACTACCCGCCTTTAGAGGCCACATTCTTTAAACTTTCTCTTCATCTTCCAATCTGAATCCAAGATGTTGCAGGTTGGTTCATCTGATGTTTTCATGTCTTCAAAATCCCAATAATGTAGCCTGAAACATATATAAATATATAAAATGTATATTTAATGTTGAAAAACTGAGAACCTGCACACTTTGATACCACACACAGTTATTACAATATTATTGATTATATTCCCTATGCTGTAGTTTACTACCTGTGACTATTCTGTAACTATCCTTTTGTACTTCTTAATCCCCTCACCGTTTTCACCCATTTCCTCAACCCCCACTCCCATCTGGCAACCATCCAAATGTTCTTTGTATCTGTAAGTCTGTTTCTGTTCTGCTTGTTTATTTTGATTTTTAGATTTAATTATTGATAGATATGTGTTGTCATTTTATTGCCCATATTTTAAAATTGTTTTTCAAGTACAGTTTTCTGCCTTTCCCCCTCAGCCCTCCCCACCACCCAGCCCTCCCTGATTCCTTCTCCTATTTCCACGCCCCCCCTTGTTGTTGTCCACATGTCCTTTATAATTGTTCCTGTAAATCCTTCACCCTTTCTCCCCTTTGTCCCCTCCCCTCTCCCTTCTGATCACTGTCAGCCTGTTCTCAATTTCAATGTCCTTGGCTATACTTTGCTTGCTTGCTCATTTTGTTGATTAGGTTCCTGTTAATGGTGAGATCATATGGTATTTGTCTTTCATTGCCTGGCTTATTTCACTTAGCATAATGCTCTCCAGCTCCATCCATGCTGTTGCAAAGGGTAGGAGCTCTTTCTTTTTTTCTGCTGTGTAGAATTCCATTGTGTAGATGTACCATAGTTTTTTGATCCGTTCATTTACTGATGGGCACCTAGGATGCTTCCAGCACTTGGCTATTATCAATTGTGCTGCTATGAACATTGGGGTACATAAGTTCTTTTGGATTGACATTTCAGGGTTCTTAGAATATAATCTTAGCAGTGGAATTGCTGGGTCAAAAGGCATTTCCATTTTTAGCTTTCTGAGGAAATTCCATACTGTTTTCCACAGTGGTTGTACAAGTGGTTGTGCAATACCACCAACAGTGCACTAGGGTTCCCTTTTCTCCTCATTGTACATATTTTTTATCTTTTCCCCCCTTCTTCTTAAAGAACACCTTGTAACATTTCATGTAATACTGGTTTGGTGGTGATGAACTCCTTTAGCCTTTCCTTGTCTGGAAAGCTCTTTATCTGTCCTTTGATTTTAAATGATGGTTTTGCTAGGTAGAGTAAACCCTGGTTGTAAGTCCTTGCTTCTCATCACTTTGAATATTTTTTCCTTTTTATTGAACATATTGGGTAACATGGGTTAATAAAATTATATAGGTTTCAGTTGTACAGTTCTACAATACATAATTTGTATACTGCATTTGAATATTTCTTGCCACTCTCTTCTGGCTGGCAAAGTTTCTGTTGAGAAATCAGCTGACAGTCTTAAGGGAATTCCCTTGCAAGTAACTAACTGCTTTTCTCTTGCTGCTTTTAAGATTCTGTCCTTGTCTTTAAATGTTTGCATTTTAATTGTTATGTGTCTTGGTGTAGGCCTGTTGGGGTTCACCTTGTTTGGAATTCTCTGCACTTTGTAGACTCGTGTGTGTTTTTCCTTCATTAAGTTAGGAACGTTTTCTGTTATTACTTTTTCAAATAGGTTTTCAATTTCTTTCTCCTTGCAACACCTATGTGACGTAAATGTTGGAACGCTTGACATTGTCCCAGAGGCTCCTTCCTCCAGCCTTATTTATTTTTTTTTTTGTATACTGACTGAGTGTTTTTAGCTCCCTCAAATTCTAAATTGTTGATGTGATTCTTGGCTTCATCTACTTTGTTGTTGATTCCTTATAAATTATTCTTCATTTCAGTTAGTGTATCCTTCATTTCTGACTAGATTTTTTTTTAGAGTTGCTATGTCCTTTTTCATGCTGTTGAAGTTCTCACAAAGTTCCTTGAGCATCCTTATAATCATTGTTTCAAACTCTGTATCTGGTGATTTGCTTACCTCCATTTAATTTAGTTCTTTTTCTGCAGATTTCTTTTGTCCTTTCATTCGGGACCTGTATTTTTGTCTCTGATTTTTGCCTGCTTTCTTATGTTTGTTTCTATGTATTAGGTAGAGCTGCTACATCTCTCAGACTGGTCGAGTGGCCTTGTGTAGTAGGTGTCCTGTAGGGCCCAATGATAGAGCCCCCATCCACCCCCCAGTTACCCAGGCTCAGTGCTTTAGGTGTGCCCCTGTGTGGGTTGTGTGAACTGTCTGTTGCAGTTCAGCCTTGATTGCTGTTGGTTATCACTGGGAGGGATTGATCCCCTAGGCCTCGAGGACCAGCTGTGACTACAGTGGAGGAGCTGCTATACAGGAACCAACCCTATGGAGCAAGACTTGCTCTAGTGGGGCTTTGCCGCTTACCCAGTCTGCCCCTTGAGTGTGTCACTTGTGGAGGTGGCAAGGTTGTAATCTAGTATGATCTGAAGCTGTCCACTGGGCACAGTGGCTCTGGGGCCTCCTACAGGTGTAAGGTCAGCCACCACCTGTACCCTGCCTGGAGCCACCTGGAACGGGCTATAGAATTATTTGCAGATAGCTGCTACTTGAGTGGAGGTACCCTGGAGAGGCCAAGTTGAGAACTAAGGCCAGCTCCTGCTAGTGCTGGGCCTGGGGCCACTGAGCCGGAGGTGCAGGGTACACAGAGACCAGGTGCTGCTTGTCTGAGAAATTTCAGGAAAGTCTGAAGCATGCAGCAAGAGAGGTCATTTGTATGGAAAAACCACTGGGAATGGCATGGGTGGGCTTATAAATTGGGTGGGGTATGGTCTCAGGGAATCTAATTAGTAGGATTGGGGGAACAGTGATAGCCAGGTTGGTGGAGACTTAGATATGGCACCTGCCTGCTGGTTTGGTGGGTGGAAGGGCTCACGGAAAAATAATGGCCTATGCCAGCACTTCTGTTTGGGAGAAAGCTGCCCCCTAGCTTTTGCTCTGATGCCAGACAATTCAGTTCCTTCCCATATATCCCTGGTGCCTTTTGAGCAGCTGTCACAGTGCTGAAGCTCAGAGGTAGTACATCCAAGTATTTCCTTATGTAGACCCTTTAAGAGGAGTGTCTGGGATTCTTGAAGCCCTTCATCTCCCTCAGCCTCAATTCCTACTGGGTTTTACAGCCAGAAGCTGTGGGGACTTCTCCTCCTGTCACTGGAACCCTGAGCTTTGGGGCCTGGTATGGGGCTGGGACCCCTCAATCCTCAGGGGGCACCTTCACAGTCAAGATATCCTTCCTGTTTTTATCTGCCACATGTGTGTGTCGAATCAGCCTGTTCTGCATCTCCACCCCAACTACCAGTCTCGATGTGGCTTCTTTAAATCCCTGGTTGTAGGACTTCCATCAGCTAGTTTCAGGAGGTCCTGAATGATGGTTGTTTTGTAGTTTAGTTGTAATTTTGATGCAGTTGTGGGAGTATTTGAATACTGCATTTACCTGTGCTGTCATCTTGACTGGAATTCCCCCCTTGCAACTTTCTAATTACTAGAGACCGGCCCATAATTATGGCATTACACACATTCACACAACCCTCCTTCTGACTCACAATAAAAACGTATCTTTCAAAACTTCTTATGCCCTGACAGCTGGAAAGTTAGGTGTTAATCCAATCACATTTGGTCCCTTCTTGATTCCACATACCTCTATGATTTACTTTTCTTTTCTAATCATCATATTGGCCTAAAGAAAAAAAGGCACTGTTATTTTAAAGCAAAAAATTAAAAGGAAATAAACTTACAGATTTCCAAATATAAAAGGTTTTTCTCCACTATTCTTGAGTACTAGAGTGGAAGTTGCTTTATAGTTAAGATTCACAAGCTCCTTTCCACTACGGGATACCCTCTCATTTCCTTTCCTAAATCATAAGGTATTGTCCTGGGGGGGACACACTGGCTTGAACCAGCAGGAATTGCTGCTAGTGTAGAATGCTTGTAAAAGATCTTAAAGGATCTTTTAAATAAAAGAGATGGGAAATATATTTTTAAAAAGGTTTAGTATGTAATCCTTGCAGAGAATGTTATGTCACAATTACTAACATTATCTGTTATGGTAAATAAGACTTGTTTTCTTCATTTTTAAAGAAAAAAATTTCAGAGAGAGGAGAAGGGAGGAAAACATGGATGTTGAGAGAGACACCAATTGGCTACCTTCTGTATGTGCCCTGACTGGGGACCAAACCTGCAACCCAGGCATATGCCCTGACCAGGAATCGAACTGCTGACATTTTGGTTTGTGGGATGATGCCCAACCAACAAGCCACACTGACCAGATTGTAAACATGACTTTTTATAATCAGTTTAATATATAGTATATGATTACATTGTGGGACTCATGAAACTACACACAAAAAAATAAATGAAAAAAAAATGTTCTAGTGTTATATGAGAGAAACTTGTGGTTTGTGATAAAAATTTCCAGTGATAGCATTATTCCCAGATTCAAAAAGGTGTTATATCTCAAATAACTTACTGAAAGCAAGGTGTGTTAAAAGATTTAAGATTCATATGGAAGTACTAAAATTGTTTCAAAAAATTTAAATAAAAAGTTAATATTTTAGATGATATGTTTAAAAATGCATGCATAGCAGTCAGCAAATTAAACAGTGTAAACAGACACATAACTGCTTAATCTATGTTCCTAAAACTCTACATATTAAAGGTAAAGCCAGACCTTTTTGGATCTCTGCATTGGGAAAGCAGGAGAATGCCTTATAGTAAATGGCATCACATATTTAGGCATATGCCTTATATGCAATTTCAGGTCTGAGACAGATTTAAAGATGTCATAAGGAAGCATGTACTCATTTAGCTGAAATTGGGGAACCATGCGTATCAGTGTAGAAAACACTGGCAAGGCAATGGGAAAAGTAGCAAAAATTTACTGGGAAAATGTAGCATATAAAGAAAAGTGCCAAGTAGTAACACTCCCAAATAGTGTCTCAAGCCAGCAATTTGTATTGTTGGGCCAACTCCACTGTGTCTGTGCTTCTCATTTGCAGGTGTAGCATCCTATTTCTGTCTTCCATTCACAGC